CTCGGCAAGCGCAGTACAGCCCCATAGTCAGATTAAAAAAAAAAAAAAAAAACAGTCGATGGCTGTTTACTGACTGGTCGACGGACCGCCGACCGGTCAGCCTTACCGGTAGGCTGCAAAATGGTCGGTGGTCGTGATAGGGGGTCGGCGGGTATGCAACCCAATGGATCTTCACCCAGTTTGCGTGACAATCGTAGATACCAGGAGTCGATCCCTAGACCTTCCCTAACCCCTTGTACAGACGCCCGTTGACCCTGTGTGTTTTCAACCCTCAACCTGCCCATAGAAACATGTATAAACGTATTGTGTCTGTAGCTTGGGTCGTGTGGACTTCAACCATAGACCTGTCTATTAGCAGTCTTAGGGTCAGTCTGTAGGTCTAGCTCTACGTCTCTCGAAAGGTCAGTCAGCCGTAGTCTAGACAGTTCCAGAAGAGTCAACTTGACCTTTCGAAGTGCCAGGAGGCAGTCCATCGATTTCTGAAAGGCCAAGAGTCCCAAGTTAAACACTCAAGGGGCAAACGAAGGCGCAGTCCCAGTCCAGTCCGTTCTTGCAGCAAGTACCAGAGTGGGACTGCACATCTCGAGGCCCTGGGACATCAGCAGGCCCAGACCACCAAACGAAACAGTATAAATAAGGAGGCAGCGATCAGTCAGTCACTTATTATCTGGGGAACTACGTGGAAGTGCTGCCCGAGTGTCTTGTGCGTCGAGCTCACCGGTGGTCAGCAAGAAGCCCGAAGGTGGAAAAGGGTGAGCAGCCATAGCCACTAGGAGGAGGAAGACGACGGCGGCCATAGCTCCCGGTGTAGCAGATAGGATATGTGTGTGAGTGTGTGCGCAGACATTCAGGGTAGATCCTAGTGCGTGTACGCGTGTGCGAGTGAGTGTGAGTGTGGCTGATGGTGGATACAGCGTACAGGTGGGGAATTCAGACTGGCGCTCAGATGCCATAGCTGCGAGATGTGAGAAGTTGACATGAGTTGAGTTCCAGGCTGAAGGCCATATGTCCGAGTTCTCTGTGTGGGCGCACTGCGCCATCTCACTCTTCTTGCTGATCCCACTTTGAGAAAGTTGTCTGCCATCGGCACCTGCATCTATGCATGCTGAAAGTGAAGTTGAAGACAAGTCTGATTGCACAACCCTGATTTCAGGCGTATTTCTTGAAATCCAGAAGAGAACCGGTAAGAGCAAAACAAGGAGTTCCATAGTATTCTTTTTGATGATGCTTTTGTGAAAGGGTTTCACCCAGTTCGTGCAACACCTGCAGATACCAGGACTCGGTCCCCAGACCTCCCCTAGCCCACTGTACAATTGTCCGTTGACCCCGTGTGTTTCGAGCCCGCGACCTGTCCCCAAAACCATGTACAAATATCTTGTGTGTGTGAGTTGGGTCGTGTTGGTTTGATCCGTAGGTCTAGTGTCTAGAAGTCATACGTCCTCTGAAAGGTCAATAGGTTGTGGCTAGAGTAGTTCCTCAAGAGTCAACTTGACCTTTTGAAGTCAGTTGAGGCAGCCCGTCAAATCTCTGAAAGGTCAAGAATCCCAAGTCAACCCCGAAGGGGCACATGAAAAGGCAATCCCAGACCAGTCCGTGTGCAGCAAGTACCAGAGTGGGGACTGCACATCATGAAGGCCTGGGACATCGACAGGCCCAGACCACCAAACGAAACAGGATAATTAAAGAGGCAGCGATCAGTCATTCACTCATTATCTGGGGAACTACGTGGAAACGCTGCTCGAGTGACTTGTGTGTTGAGTTCACCGCTGGTCAGCAAGAAGCCCGAAGGTGGAAGCAGGCGAGTGGCCATAGCCGCTAGGGGGAGGAAGACGACGACGGCCATAGCCGCCTATTCAGGGTAGATCCAAGTGTTGTGTGCGTACGTTCGTGGAGGAGGAAGATGCTGGCGGCCATAGCCGCCTATTCAGGGTAGGTCCAAGTGTTGTGTGCGTACGTGTGTGTGAGAGTGTCTGACGGTGGTTACAGTGTTCGGATGGAAATTCCAGACTGGATCTCAGACGCCATAGCCATGAGGTGTGACAAGTTGCTTTGAGCTGAGGTCCTGTCCGAAGGCCATATCTCTGAGTTTTGTGTGGGCGCACTGCGCCATCTCAAGTCTGTTTCTGATTCTGCATCTGTGGAATTTTTTGTTGCCATCGCCAGCTGCATGTCTGCATGTTGAAAAGGAGAGAAGTCTGATTGCATTTTGAAAATTTAAACGCTATCGACCAAGTCGTTAAACAACGACGGCACAAAGTTTATACCTTTACAGCCAGGAAGTCGGTGATGCCATTGAGTATAAAGTTAATCTCCTCCTCTGCCGGTTCAGGACGCATGGTGAGCTTCGTGTCGGCATCCGTTGTTCCTGCTAAAGTCTTTCCCAACCAAGGAAGCATGAACAGAACTCGGCCGTCCTTCGTCTTTGGCACAATTAATCCCATCGATTTTGGCGAATAGTAGTCTGGAAGAATTATATGCACACCGCTACTTGCCCTGATCATCCCCTTGGCTTCCTTGTCCGCCATTTGCCTAACCGAATCACAGAATGGTCCAGTCGAATTCACCACCACTTTGGCATGCACATAAAATTCCTTTCCGGAAAGCTTGTCCTGGACTCTCGCACCAACAATCTTCTGAGTCACTGAATGGAAGGACCAACACAAGGAACCCGTCAACAGGTCAAGCACATAATCCAACGGCCCTGATGCCGCAAAATGGTGGAATGAAATCTCAACCCTACTACCATAGGTTAACACACTGGAGTCTCTGACAGGTCAAACTCATCATATCCTCATGGCGCAAAACAGTCAAAATTGAAGAGTAAAGCATTTGTGATTGACTGCCTCTGTACGCATGCTTTATTCGCACAAAACCCTCCCTCCAACGGCATGGGCATCCAGAGGGTCAGGTTTGTGATCTGTACCAGGACATGAAGGCATCCACATCCGTTCTGACAGAGAAATTTGTTTGCACACACAGAAGAGATAACAATGGCGTTACAGGACAGAGAGACCAGCATATTATGACTTGCTTTGAGAGCAAAGCAGGTCAAGTTCATCATTTTCAACCATAGCAGGAAACAATAGGGGCTGGGTCTACAATAGATACCCCAGGATCTTCTCATATAGCATCCTGCTAATCAGCCAAACACATACCTTGTTTGCATGGAATGAAACCTGGAGGAGAAAAAATGCTGACCACAAACACGAAGGGGCGATGAGACTCGAAGAACAACCCAATCCCCCCTATGCAAAACGTGCAATGAGAATAGTTGAATCACTAATCCATTGTCTAATTGAGTGCTCCCATGCCACCAAAATATTGGAGGCTTCCAGGAAAGCATGGTCCAATATCTCCCTAAACCAGTTCCCAAGAGACAGAGAGGGAGTCATGTGAGGAAAGGCTCAGCAATCAGAAGAGAACAGATGAAGAGGCATGGAAGGAAGTTGAGAAAACTTTTAGGTTCAAGAACTGGGAACCAGTGTACGGGTTGAGACGGTGAGCAGGAGGTGATCTCAGATGTGGAACAATAGCAGAGAAACCAGAAAACAAAAAAAGAATCAAGGAAAGAATTACAGACCAAAATCAGACAGAAAGCCGAAAAGCGTATACCAACAGGACTCGGACAATAGGGAAGGCAGAGGCACTAGCAGAGAGTTCTCAAAATTGCAAAAGAGGAAGTGCATACCCTAGGGGCGGAGGGGGAATCTAACATGACCTCAAAGAAGTGTTGAGGGCAGATCTCAAGACACTAGACACCAAAGACCCACATCACCAAAAGATCAAAGGAAGGGGGATGGAACGATAGTAGACTCTTTAGGGCACCTACCATTTTAGGCGATGGTTTGGACAGGCTAGTACTACGAAAATGAAAGCAGGGAAGGAGTACCGGATTTCAAAAAGGGTTAGTCTCAGACGTAGGCATGAAAGAACCCTAGGCAACAGGCATCAGGAGACAGAGGTCAGTAGTTACTATGAAACTACAGGGGAGAGAGTACAACAATGAGGGAGGCACAAGGTAAGATGAGCACGAAGAATAGGCCAGGGTCATCTCAGGATAGACGCAGAAATTGCTGAAAGCCCCAGCGCTGCAAGAGGTCTGTTTCGGATTTTAGAGGTATGTTCGGATCTAGACCTCTCAGGATACCAAGCAATAACCGGGAGTACTATCCACAGGAAGGAATGAACGGAAGGGGATCCTGAGCTTTCAGAAAGACAGCTGAAGGATGGGCATTGACAGGTCCAAATAATAGTTCGGCAGGCTAATGCAAGGCTCAAGGCCTCGGTAAGCCCTACTGGGCCCTATTTCAGCAAGAACGGCCGCCCTAAGTGAAGGCAGGCCTGACAAGTGACGAGAGGCCTATTTTTGGGGTTTTGACGCAGCTGGGAAATTCAGGCAGTTGCGCAGCGCCAGTTGGTTGAGTAAGCCCAGGCCCTGCCTGCCTTTTTCCAAATGTATCGAGGCAGGCCCTGGGTCAGACAAAGGGCATGAAGCGAACACAGGCCACTGGCAGTTGGACACCGGTAACCACCCAAGGCCCTGTGGAAGATTCCCTGGGACAGGGGCTCAGCCACTTGGGGCCTACTGGAGGCTTCCGTGGGGAGGCCCAGGCCAGCCAGGCAGCCCACGACTGGCAGCCTCATTCCATAAAGGAAAGGGCCTGGCTGCGGGCTGGACATTCGGGCACTCACTGCTTATGCGCAAGCGCTGCTGCGCCAGCTGCTGGAGCGAGTGCCTACGCAGTCACGGGCGAGCAGGGAAGAAGCAGGTGCAAGGCATATGACCCTATGAGCCCCATTCAGGCCCTGCCAAGTATCACGTCGGCCGCCCTAAGTGAAGGCAGGCATGACGAGGGCCTGAGGGCCCCTATTTTGATCACCGCGCAACTCATGGAAATTCAGGCAGTTGTGCAGCGCCAGTTGGTTGGAAAAAAAAAAAAAACAGGCCCTGGGCCGCCTATGTGAATGTATGGAAAGCAGGCCCTGGGCTGGGTACGGGTACTGGGGCAAACACAGGCCGTTGACAGTTGGGTGCGAGCAACCACTACAGGCCCAAGCCTGAGTTGTGTGGACGGAGCCTCAGCCTACCGGGGCCTACCGGAAGCTTCTTGGGAAAGGCCCAGCGCAGCCTGGGACAAGCAAGCAGGCAGGCCACTTCCATATAGCAAAGGGCCTGCCTCCGCATTTGGCTTTCGGGTGCTGGCTGCGTGCTGCGCAAGCGCTGCCGCGCTGTAGCTCGCTGGCATTCACGCGCTCACGGGCGAGCAGGAAGGAGCAGGCAGCCATAGCCGAGCTGCGCTGCTGTAAGCTGGGTGAGGCGCAGGGTGGTCCTAGGGTGCAAGTGGCATCTGTGTGTTGGGGAACGAGGTTGTGAGTGAGGCAAGAGACATACCTGGTGCTGGAAGCGTGCAACATTGGTCACTGTATGCTCGTACTTCGGGAAAGCTGTTGATGTCATCATTCGGCATTGTAGTCTAGGCTAGATAGGATCTGCCATCTGTAGTCTGGGCGCCGGGCGCCAGATAGGATATCAACATTGGTTCTTCATTGATGATGATGATGAGACTTTACCAGCATTGTCAATTATGAGCTCTTGGTGTCTTCTTATTTGGTGAAACTCGTGATGCAATTCTGCTGTTGATTCGAGGTCACAACTATCTGGTCTTGTGTATATGATGCTGTTTGATTGCTGAAGTTCGCTATTGCTCATCTTCCTTGCAATTTGGTATCGGAGCTGTGGTACGATTGTGCTCATCTGGCGCTTGTCTTCTGCCTGGTACGGTACATACATGCGGTCTGCTTGGCGAATTGGGCCGTAAGTGGTGTGTAGTGAGGAGGGCGGAGACGAGTGTAGTGGCGACCCAGGAGGTGAGGGGATCGCCAGGAAGGCTACGTGGGGTAATGTGGGTCTGGACAGTGTGATGAGAACTATTTAATGTGCGATTGATGCTGAGGTGGAATGGCGAGATAATGCTGGTTGTGCCGATGCAGTGACTGATCACAATCGCCATCAGGTCATCTGATGAGATTATCTCTGTGGTTGGGGGCAGCTATTTGAGGTACGCTGCTCTTAACCTTATCTACCCTCTTCGACACTTCTTACCGTGAGGTTGTGTGTTCCTTCTTGAGAGTCCTCTCATTGTGAGGTGTCGAGTGCGCTCAACCTTGAGAGTCGGCAATGTTCACGTGGAGCATCTGGGAGAAGATGGGCGGAGCTTTCTGAAGGGCCCTGGACGAAGCACTGGGTCACGGTCACCATGCCAACCCACCGGGTATAGAGCACGCATGCTTTGCTGCTTGTCCTTTGTTCGGCTTGCTGCGCTGTTAGATGGGTACTGAAGGGCAGGCCAGCCCTAACTGGGAGATGAGAACCGTGCGTCTTTAAATAAACACGGTCCGGGGAAATCATTGGCTGTGATCATCGTCCTGCTGCGACGTAAAATAATTCCTGATGACACTTGGGGGCGGTCGTTAAATTGCCTCTGGATCAGCCAATGATTGTAAGGCTCGCTGCACGCGTGGATAATCCAGTGCAGGGCTGGCCAGCTCAGCAGATACTCGGGGCACACGGGCGGGCCGGACACACACCTTTTAGGCACGCAACGCTCTCCAGATCGCTCAGGGACGCTGACGTCAAGTGACATTCAGGGGGGACTATGGGAGGGGTAGATTTCAGGTGATAAGTTCGAGAAAAATTCCATACTGTCCTATCCACACAAATGATTCTATTTTTATGTTTTGATTAGTTAGATGTACAGCCATACGACATCTGACAGACAGCATAAATAGAACAGTTTCTGTTCATTCTACATTCTGTTCGCGGACTAATCAGACTAAAAATAGTTTCGTTTGTAGGAATCTGACTTACCTGTTGGGCCCGAATGTATAGTCTCTAACATAGCCACCAATTAATTAGTTGTTTATTTTAAATTGGTCTGTGCATTATCCTGCGGTAGGCATCTAGAGTGCACTAGTGCAGAATGTGTGCAGTGCTGTAGCATATGAGCAACAAGGAGGACACTAGAGAGGACGACCGGATCTTGCGATCGGCTAGACGCCCGATTGCCCATTTGGCATTAGGACCAGAGGGCGACAGGTACCTGTTCCGCTAGCGTAGGGAGAGGTTGCAGCAGCAGAGGAGGGCTAGAGCAGCAGAGGCTAGCAGGGCACTAGTAAGTGAGGCCACAGCTTCGGAATCCATGGCCACCTCTGCGCAGCAGACTCCTCAGGCTGGTAGTTCAGGTTCTGTAGGGTCAACGGTCGCACAGACCCAGAGTCAGTCCGCTGGCATTATGGCAAGCCAGCCATTGGTGTTGACACCCGAGGAGGTCGCCATACAGCGAGCTGCTGCTCGCGAGGCACAACTACAGCAGGCTTTAGGAGAGATTAAGGCTGAGAAAGAGAGAATGATTAGGAGAAGAGCCAGGATGGAGAGGAGAGAAGCGGACGTTAGTGAGTTAGAGGAGATGACCCCTGCAGAGATGGATGATGATGTGAGAACCATTCGGTCGGTCCTGTTAAGTGTAGTGGAGATGCAGGATCACCAGACGGATATCTTACAGGACATCCAGCAGAGTCCGGCTGTGTTAGTCGGGAAGATGCAGGCGACACCATCACCATCCGGGCCAGGTGCCTGGCCCG